ATTAGGCTGTCCTTGACCCAGGAGTAAACCAGTTTGTTTTAGTCACAAACCCCTCCCCGCTTCAGCTCCCAGTTGTGTCAAGCCAGAAGCCACATGAAAGAAACCCGAGAGAAAACTATAGAAGAGGCAAAAAGAAAAAAAAAAGATTCCCCCCCACAGCTAGATCAGTTTCAGGGTTAACAGATCAATAGCAACATGAGCTGAAGTTCACCAGGAATTCAACTATAAGGACCCAGGATTGAATCAGCAGGCTAGAAACATAGATAATATTAAACTACTGATTTCCCTTCCCTCGTAACACCTCCCCAGCACCCCCATGTCTCCCTCAGTCTGTCACAACCAGAGTTATACTACCTTGACCTCTCCTGATTACAACCTACATAATAATCAACCAACCCACACACAGAGAGAGACTCCCACCACAATGCACCATATGCAATTACTCAACTAGAATAAAAATTTCACAGTCACAGACTTCTTGTTCTCCAGGAAAAGCAATTATCCACATCAATAAATCAAGTAAATATTGTAGCTTTCTTCTTGAAAACTTGGGATGGTTAGTAGGAGGGTTTTACTTATTTTTACACCCCCCAAAGTACCCCTGTGAAATGGTCTGGAGTCTGGACTGAAAGATTTTGACTGGCCCAGCATCTCTAGTGAGCTCTATGCAGGGGTGGGCTGCTACTGGTTCTCCCTGGTTCAAGCAAACTGGCAGCTAACTGGTAGCTAAATTTATGGCTGATTCGGTGAACCGGCAAATCCCATCCCTGGCTGGCCCTGCCCACCCTGCCCTTCCCCTCCCAGGAGTCCCCACACGGCCTGTTTTGGATCCCAGGCAAGTACAGGGCCTGCGCAGAGGCTCAGGAAGGGCAAAAAACAGGCCTCCTTGAAGCTCTGGAAGGCTGGAAACAGAAGCCCTCCAGAGCCCGGGGAAGGTGAAAAACGGGCCTCCTAGAAGTTGCAGAAGGCCAGAAACGGGGCCATTTCAGGCTTCCAGAGGGCCTCCGGAGCCTAGGGAGGCTATTTTCATCCTCCCAGAGGCTCAAGGAAAGCTTCCGGAGCCCAGGGAGGGTGAAAACACCCCTCTCCCGCCATGGTGCAGGAGGCTGATTAGGCCACGCCCACCATGGCCATGCCCACCCAGCAACCAGGCAGAGAACCAGTGGCTAAAATTTTTGAAGGCCGATGGAGCTTTCAAGCTATTAATTTTAAACGCATTTAAAAATGCTAAAATTGTAATGTTCTCAGAATCCTGAACTTACCTACTGCTTATACTATTGAAACTCTTATTGTCTGTTACCTTTAACTGGATGAAACGATGTATCATAGGACTAACTTACCAGATGTGTCCAAAATTTGGGACTCCTAACTTCTGTGGGATTGAAAATTGGCAAATTATTGGTTGCTTCAATGCTGCTATGCTACCACTCAGAAGTTCAGTAGAACTTGCCCTAGCCCTCAGTACACTAGGTAGACTATCCCCTCTTTCTGCTACTGGAGATCAGGTGGATTGGTCCTGCCCTAGTTCTCCAGAGATTTGGTAGACCAGACCCACCATCAATTGCAGAGCCGTGGTCAGGAAGTTGGAAATCGCTCCTGCTCCCAATTTTTTTTTGCCCTTGATTTCTCTGTTTCTCTGTTTACGTAGAAAATATTTGTGAAATGATGACCTAATGGGTCATGGATTGCTATTGTAAACATATTTTCAGTCTGCCTTTTTCCCAGGCAGGGGGTCTGTGGTTAGGAAGGGGGAAGAATTATATTTAGCAACCATCAGAGTCCTGAAAATAGAACTGTTATAACTACTGTAATATTACTATAATATATTTAATAATGATTAATGTACTGGTACTGCATTATGACCACCTTGGAAGGAATGAACACTTGTGGGATTTCCTATTTCAGTGCCAAAGTAACACGGCTGCTTTGAGTATAATAAACTGAAAATGGAACATTTCTAAAAACTCATATGTGCCCTTATTTTCTTCTCTGTCAGTCACATTTGTCAACTTGATCCCATAATCTAAAATAATCCAATTATGCTTTTATTCTTTTATACATTGCTTCTGAACGTTCTTTTATTTATCATCCATGGGACTTGTATCATATAAATGTAGTAAATAAGAAACAAGCAAATAAATGGTATAAATGTGTTTGATTTTGGTTTTTTTTTTAAACATGCAGCATCCAACACTCATCCCTATGATTTTTGGGGAGACAAGGCACTGATTTGCTACTTGCCAGTCATACTAGATCCAGGAAAATGCCACCCCAGCACGCAAGGGCTAAAAACAGGTTCCTCGAGAGATGAGCTATTCCTCCCACCACCTCATTAGTAAGTGATGCTTCCATTGCTGGGTATGACCCCCATCAGCTTATCCTCCAACGGCTTGCTGCCTCCCCCACACTGGATACACAAAATTACTGCAGACCATTCACGAGGCTCCATTGCTAAGGAAACAGTGAAGAGTCCACGCCCTTCCCCCAAGTCCAGGCATTAATTTGCCTCCTGATCCCAGAGAAAAGCATTATGCAAATACTTCATTTGCCGCCTGGAACAAAAACAAACCAGAAAGAATGATAACCAAGGTATGCTTTAAAAGGGAACTCCAACCGGCCGTTTTGTTTGTATGCAAACTTTTTGCAACTGCATCAGGCATCTTATGACTTTCTGGAAGATTAGGGCAACATGGAAGCTAGCCTTCTCAGAACATGCACAGCTATTGTCTGGTTAGCTGATTCACCTTTTCTCCTGGATTTCCAAAAGCAGAAGCCTCTGATGGTTTCGCAATTCCTTCTTGAGAACTATCGCTGGTTAAAGGAAGCAGTGATGGATAAATGGGCTGGGCTGCACGTTGTTCTACACCATATTACAATTTGTTCTGTTTGGAGATTTAGTGATTTGCAAACCAGATGAGAATCCATGATTCATAAAACCATGGTTACACACATCCTAATTTAGAAAGCAGTGCAAAATATATACATTTAGTTTTCGATAATGTATGAGGTGGTTTTCTAGGATAATGGATGGATAACAAGGACATATCAAAAGTGTCTCTGATCGTGCATACAATTTGCCTTTCGGTGAACCTAAGCCAGACCCGGAGACTTTTAAGCGAGAAGAATTTTGAGGACTGTTTGTGAGAATATGTAACATAGATTAGCAGAGATGGTAGGGACCTTGTAGGTCATCTAGTCCAACCCCTCATCCAAGCAGGAGACCCTACACCATTTCTGACAAATGGCAATCCAATCTCCCCTTGAAAGCTTCCAGTGATGAAGCTCCCACAACTTCTGAGGGCAACTTCTGTTCCATTGGTTGATTGTTCTCAGTGTCAGAAATTTCTCCTTATTTCCAGGTTGATTCTCTCCTTGATCAATTTCCATCCATTATTCCTTGTCTGGCCTTCAGGTGCTTGACCCCTTCCCCTCTGTGGCAGCCCCTGTGGTATTGGAAGACTGCTATCATATCTCCCCTGGTCCTTCTCTTCTCTAGACTAGCCAAGTCCAGTTCCTATAACCGTTCTTCATATGTTTTAGTCTTCAATCCCCTAATCATCCTGGTTGCTCTCCTCTTCACTTCTTCTAGTCTCAACATCTTTTTTTATGTGAAATACATAGGCATCTCCTTTTTCACACATTAGCTACCAGGGACACACAGGTGATCTAAGCAGCTCTAAGATCTGCACTTTCATTTTCCTCTTGGCAAACACATGTCAAGGTTCTTTCTTTGTTACCTAGAATTCAGAGTTACACTATGTGCACCCAGACAAGAAACTTTTAAGGTGGGGAATATGGAATTTAACAGCAAACACCAAGTTAACTTGTTCTCCTTTACACTCTATAAACACAATGCACTTGATCACACATACACAGTTCAAGACACAACATTAACCTTTTAGACTTAAATATAAATTCAGCCTTTCAATTTAAAATTCCTGGCCAGCTTGGCAGGAAAGAGAGAAAAGTATAAACACATATGTTTAATAAATCCAAGTAGATTATCCATTACATGGCAAACATGATCATTTTAATCAGCAAAAAGCTGCTTCCAGACCTGACTTATGAATCCAAAACTATCTCCCAAACCTTAAAGCTCTTTTTGACTTTTCCTTCTCTTTTCATCTTAGTTGATTCTTATAAGAAAGAATTCTGAAGTTTTAAAATCTGGTGGCTGAGAAGCCTTCTCTTTTTTTCTTTCCCCATTCTTTTTCTTTGTGTGTACTGTATTAGGATAAGAACAAGGACGATATTGTTTGATATTGAACTATAAGCTGATCCTGGAGCATTTGGGGATCAATGGTGGAACGAGAGTTTCCAAATAAATCCATTTAATATGTCCTGCTTTGGATGGATAATTTAAATTCCTGCCCTCAGTGGTAGTTTGGACCCAAGACCCAAGTGTCCCTTTCCAATTCTGTAATACTGTTGTGATACCAGAAAGCTAGTTTTGTACAGTGCTAAAAGTGTTGGTCTAGAAAACAGGAGATTTTAAGTTTTAGTCCAGCTTTAGGCATGAAAAACCAGCTGAGTGACTTTGGCCAATCACTCTTTCTTCAGCCCAACTCACCTCACAGGGTTATTGTGGGGAAAATAGGAAAAGAAGGAGTATTATGTACGTTCACTGCCTTGAGTTATAAAGTTGGAATAAAATTGAATAAATAAATGCTATGGACATAGGGCTTGTCTTCCTCTACCCCAATAATTCAAGCATTGTCCTGGTGGCACAGCTCTTCTACTGGGGTTATGCTACCTCCACTTTTACATCTGTTTTATAAATGTGGATGTTCAGAAATGTTGCTGTAGAAAACCTAGTTGGCTACTCCAACTCCTTGGTTTTGCTGGCAAAGCATACCAAAAAATACAGCGCAAATAAAAGCGACCCCTTCAAATAATCAAGCTCCTTAACTGAACTAGAAGACTTGCAACAAGCTGAGAATGCAGAAATTAATTTGGCATTGATGTCTACTATCCCACACAACTCGATTTGCAGGACTCACCCTGCAGACGGACATCTGGTTGGTTGTCAGGGTGCCTGTCTTGTCAGAGCAAATGACTGAAGTGCATCCCAGGGTTTCCACAGAGGGGAGGCTCCTTACAATGGCATTCTTCTTGGCCATCCGGCGGGTGCCCAATGCCAGGCAAGTGGTGATAACTGCAGGAAGTCCTTCAGGGATGGCAGCCACTGCCAAAGCCACGGCAATCTTGAAATAGTAAATGGCACCACGAAACCAGGAGCCGCCATGCACGGGGTCGCTGAAGTGGCTGATGTTGATGACCCAGACTGCAATACAGACAAGGGAGATGACCTTGGAAAGCTGCTGGCTGAATTCATCCAGCTTCTGTTGCAGAGGGGTCTTCTCGGGCTCCGTGGCCACCATCTGATTCCTGATTTTCCCAATCTCTGTGTACACTCCAGTGGCAATAACAACACCAACAGCTTTGCCCGCAGCGATGTTGGTTCCCTTAGGATGAGAAAATATATACATATTTAAATTATTTTATTATTATTAGAACATTTATATTGACACCTATTCACACTTGGTGACTAAAGGAGGCTTACAGGGGTATAAAACACCATATATATAAAAAATAAAACTAATAAAAAGAAAATAATAAAATAATATAATAGCCCCCCACTCTTTCCCCTCCCACCAGCGACAACACATTACATGAGCATTTAATGGGCTCCATCCTGCTCTGTGTTCCCTAGGCCCGCTGGCAGAACCAGGTCTTCAGCACCTTCCAGAAGAGTATTAGAGTGGAGGCCATTCTAATCTCTGGGGGAATTATGTTCCAGAGAGAGGGAGCTACCACAGAGAAGGCCCTTCTTCTGGGTCCCACCAGGTGTATCTCCCTCAGAGATGGGACCTGCAACATTCCTTGCCTTCCCCGATCTAGGGATCGGGTCAGGATCAGGGGTGGGATGCTACCGGTTCAGCCCGGCTCTACAGAACCGGTAGCTCTGAAGAGCAGCAGACACAGTACTGGTTCTGCGTTTGCTGCTGTTTGGCCCACCCGTCTGCCCGGGCTCTTACCTGTCCTTTATTTCCTTGCTTTTTCAACCTCATCTGGTTTGCGCAGCACAGCTGAGGTTGAAAAATCAGGGGAAAAGAGGCTTTTTGAACGCTGCGCACCTGCACACAGCGCTTTTCAGCTGTCCGGGTGGCACAGCTAAAGGTTATTATGCCAGTAGTAATGCCAGTTGAATCCCACCTCTGGTTGGGATAGATGTGACCGGCAAGAGGCAGTCCCTCAGATAACCTTTTAGATGAAGCTGTCAGGGTTCCAGAAAAACCTAACTCCAATTAAAAACTCTGAGACAGGCATTTTCTCAAAGTTTCCTTTTATTAGAATACTTATACTGGCACATCTGGGAAAACCCGAATCTGAGAGTTCCAGGTTTTCCCTTAGTAATTCAAAAGTCAAAACCCAACCCCTGCACCCATCAATCCATCACATGGTCCAATTGCCAACCGTCCCAACTTGAAACATCCCTTCAACCACTCCTCCTCCAGGTGCAGGAATAACATGACCTTGACCAAAAAGAAGAATGCTATTATGTCTAACTACCAACACTTTAAAAATCCTACTTTCCCAGGCACAGGAATGTGGCAGCGTGGAAGCTTCTGGTACTAATATGGCTTCCAAAGCTGACAGAAGTTCTCTCACTGAAGCCTAAATTCAGCTTCTGAACAACAACTTTTGACAGACCAGAACTACCTGTGGCCTGACAGTGGCTTTTGAGGGTTTCCCACAAAAACAGGAGATGAGTAGGTAGTGGGCCAAGAAACCAGCCAAACTTTTTCATTTTCATTTATATTTCAAAAAAATTAAACATTGTTAATATGATAATTCTCCAGTTAAGGATCTAAGAAGTGTCCTATAGAAGTATACCATATTCTATGGTAACAACTTTTAGAGCTCTCTGGATATTGGACTATCATGAAGTCATGGATGAACATTATTAAAAACTACACCTTATATGTACAATACTACAAGAAATTATATCCTTAAAAGACAGTTGACAATCTCTGAATGAACAACAATGGAAGTCCAGATTTATATCCACTCGGCTCTCAAACTCTTCATATTCTCTTGCAGGGCTAATCTCTCAGAAGAATTGAATTTCCTCTTCTTTAAAAGCTCAGATTATTCACTGATGATGGACACTTGTTTATATTTTCTGCCATTTCTCCATTCAGGAGATTGCCCCAATTTCAGATGAGTCCTGATACTGCCCCCCACATTTCAACGTTTCAGAAGTTACAGGAGAAGTTTCAGAAGTTACTGGTCCAGTTTGGGTCCCCTGATATAACCTGACAATAATCAAAAGGTATGCAACCAGAAAGATTGGACTATCGGAATGATGACCATAGGGCTATATGTAACCCTTAGATTAACTTCATAATCTATCTACAAAACAGTTCAGCCCTTCTATGAAGCTGGCTGCACAACAGGTAACAGAAGGAGAAAATAAAAGACAGCATCAGAGAGAAAAGGGGTTACTTACCTCCCAACCACATTTGTTTGTCTATAGGCTATATCTCTAAATTTCATCTAATTTCTTTTTGGTCTGTGACATCACCCATCGCTGGCTTCAATTTTGCCCACTCTCCAATTGATCACCTCCAGAGCAATGCAATCCTGAGCATTAAAAAGGTTGGCTGGCCTTCATGTACAGGTAGACCTCAACTTACAACTATAATGGAGTCAGCCCATTATGGTTTTAAGTGGTGACAGCCCTAAAAAGGTCACCCACATGACCGATCTGATTTTGTGACCTTATTTATGGCACTTGTTCAGCAAATCAATATGGTTGTTAAGTAAATCCATGATCATTAAGCAAATGCTGCAGTTATTAACCAAACCCATTGCCGTGTTCGGGTTTTCAACAAAAATGTCATAAATTGCAGTTACATGACCACAGGATGCAGCAAGCAGTCAAAAATGAACGAAATGCAGTCACGTGCCTGCATGGAGGGAGGCAGTTGTAACTTTGGAGCTGGATCATAAATACTTTTTGGGAGGTCCATTGAAACTTCAAGTAAATTGAGAACTATCTGTACTAACCGAAGGAGAAGGGACAATCCAAAGAATTTGCTACACACTAGACAGCAGTTGCAGGGAAGAGGAAGGGAGGTATTATTTCTCCAAAACAAACATCCAACAAAAAATATATAGAACATCAAATATAAATTATTCTTGACTGTGCTGCTTTTTTATTGGGTTGCATTCAAAAACGCAGTGAATCTTATTTACCTATTTATAGCCTAACATAATATAATCTACTTAGGTTTCTACCATTTGTCAATCACACAGGGTGATTCCCCAGAGACATGTGGACAGAGAAGCTTTATCCCAGAAGCAGGGCAAGCTTATAAGATAAGCTGAGGACACTTACAGAAAAAAGCATGTTCTTTTTATCTTGGTTAACAGCCCTTGGGTCTGGAATTGGATCAGTATGTTTAATGACAGAGATAGATTCGCCTGCAGAAAAAAAAAAAGAACACTGAAATTCACTTTTCCTTCAAAAGTTAGGAATGATTTGTCTAACAAGACCTTTCAAGTTTGGAATTAACTTGAGTTACAAATCACACATACAACCAAGTATGCTACTCAACACTGAGATAAGAGGCAGGGCAAAGACCAGGAAATGCAAGGAGAACAGATTTTTCCTCATTTCTACTGCTTACTAGGATAAGGTCTCTAGTATTCACAAGATGCTTTAGACCAGGGGTGTCCAACCTTGGTAACGTTAAGCCTGGAGGACTTCAACTCCCAGAATTCCCCAGCCAGCAAAGCTGGCTGG